ATACCCCATGCTGAGCAAGGCAAAGCTCAAGACAGAACTATCTCTGATCTATGAGAATCCTGAATTCAAGGGCTGCTGTGGTGCACTGGCACTGTACCAGGTTCTCATGAGCTACAACCTCCAGGAGACGTTCTCTGAGACTGTGACTCTGTTGAACATCCTCATAACTACTCCCATGACAACAGCTGAAGCTGAGAGATGTTTCTCAACTTTGACACGAGTTAAGACATTCCTGCGAAATTCAATGGGCCAGGAACGTCTGAATGCACTGGCCATGCTTTCCATGGAGAGGGAACTAGTCCTCAGCATGCCTGATTTCAATGAGAAAGTCATTGACCGCTTTGCTTTATTGAAAGAGAGAAGAGAACAGTTTCAGTACAAGTAATGTAGCCTCTCTCTCTCTTTGTCCCTCCCTGTCTGTCTCTTTAACACACACACGCCCAAATCAGTTCACAGTTGATGTTGTTTAAAATAGTTATTTTTCATTTTTAAAAAAGTTTTAAAAAATAAAAAATCTGTTCATGTTCATTTTTACAAATCTATACAATTGGCCAGAATATGGTTGTTCATATTTACAAATCTATACAATTGGCCAGAATATGGTTGTTCATTTTTACAAAGCCATACAGATAGCTGTGTTTACCTTTTCTAGAAATTATTTTCAAATTCTGTTTTCAGGCAAAATGTCTATCACTGTTCATTTTCACCAATCTATACAAGAGGGCAGAATATGGAAGTCTATAAAAATTTCTTATTACCAATAACTTGCATCAATGTTTTCAGTAGCCTCTATCAAAAGCTCCTGCTTGCTTGTTGTGAATTATGCTCAGGTGCACATATTTCCAATTCAACCATGAGGCCTTTTTGAAGCAAGTAATGTGTATATCAGTATTGACTTATATGCTGCCCCTGTCTTAATGTTGTTGCTGGACATATCTTTTTTTAAATGTGTGTAGGTCACCTAAATCATCAGAAAAATTGCCCCCCCTGAGAATTTTTTCTGGAGCCGCCACTGCTCTTTGCATAAACTTAATGTAATTGTCAATAAAAGCCTTTAACACTTATGGAATGCTTGTACTTATACTTCAGTATACCATAGTAACATCTGACAAAAACATCTAAAAACACTGAAGCAGCAAACTTTGTGAAGACCAATACTTGTGTAATTCTCAAAACTTTTGACCACGACTGTATATATACAGTATATATATTTTTTTTTCTTCAAATTTCGGCGACCCCACTGCAGTTCCCCTTTGACCCCTACTTTGTATACCACTGCGCTAGTGTATTATTATTCGGTATTTCAAAACATTCGGTAGTAATAATTACAAACAATCAAAATGTTCTTTAGTTCCAATTTTCTTTTCCAAAAGCTACTGGATATCAGCAAGTATCAAAGACAGGTTTGAAAACTCTATGGAGGATGGTAACAAAGATAACATCCTGTTGAAGGCTTTTCAGCTTCTTCTGTGTGGTTTAAGATAGGGTGTGCCGAGTACTCTGACAAAATGAGTATTGTAAAGGATATGGAGAATTTTCAGAATACGAATATGACAATAATTTTTTGTAATTATATGTGATCTGGAAAAAAAATATTTTCAGCTGCCAGCACACATAGGAAGTAGGGGTGCTGAGGGTGCTGCAGCATCCACTGCAGCATCCACTGAAAAATCAGAATAAAAAAAAACTATATATATATACAGTATATGTATTAGCGGACCGATATAGATATAGCCGTCTGCAGCACAGGAAATACATTTTTTCTCACATAAGTAGTGCACTGGGCCTTTTCTACTGCTGTATGCCGGCTGGTCATGGCCATTCTGCAGCCCTAGGTGAGACAAAAATATTGCAGCCCCTAGGAAAACTAGAATAGTCCTAGTAAACAAAATGACATAGAAAAGACGTCTTAAATATGTATTTTCCAGACATTGAAGTTAGGTTAAATTTAGGTTCCCAAATGAAAGGTGAATATACGTTTTCCGGACATTGAAATCAGGTTCATTTCCGGTTCTGAATGAAAGTTGAAAAGACGTCATTCATAGACATCTATGTTTGGACCAAATCAAGCCCAGTCCAGACCAGACCAAATCTGAACCAATCATAGACGTCTATGTTTGGGCCTAATCAAGGCTGGTCCAGACTGGACAACAATCGGACCCAAACATAGACGTCTATGATTGGTTGAGATTTGGTCCGGGCCGGACCAAAAATCTATGCCCGTGGACATTGAAATCAAGGCTGGTCCGGACCGCACCAAATCTGAACCAAACATAGACGTCTATGTTTGGGCCAAATCAATAATGGTCCAGACCGGACCAAAAACCAACATCTGTGGACGTAGAAAGCAAGGCCGGTCTGGACTGCACCAAAAAAAGACTGCTAGTCCGGACAGGACCAAATAAAGACCTCCAAAAGAAGTCTGCGTTGGTCCGTGCTTACTGAGGTGTAGCCTACCATGTTGGCCTGCAATGGATTTTTTGAATGCCCATCCATGTGGTGGGCCCACCGTTTGTAACACAGGCTGTTGCATTGGCTTTATTAGTCCTGATTCCTGTGACTAATCAATTTGGCTATTTTAGCTCTGAATATCAGCTAGCCAACTTTATCGGGAGTTAACTTGAGCCTATTTGCAATGTGTTTATACAGCGGGAAATGCATAAGTATTTTTTTTTCTCGCTATGTTCAGCTCGTCAAAAATGGATGGATACAAACTTGAAACCATTGATCATGACATTTAGCCCACGTGATGAAACTCCATGACAGCAGTTGTGAGAAGCTTGATTATTCATTCCATATTGCATTTGTGTCCAAAATGTATATTTTTTCTCTTTGATACTCTGATCTTCAATGTGTATTGATTCCTACTAACCAGCTTGGTAAGAGCTAGGTTTGTACTAGCTAGGCTGATGATCATTCACGTTTTTTTCTCTGCATCAGGTCTCACTGAGACTGGATTCCCGAATAGGCATGCTATTCAGCTGCCCATGATTGCCTGACCTTAGTGTAAGTAGATCCAATTGAAAAAGAACAGCTTCTAATAATATACAGTCAGGTCCATCAATATTGGCACCCTTGATAAAGATGAGCAAAAAAGACTGTATAAAATAAATAATACAAATACTGAGCTATAAAATTGTATGCTACATTTTATTTATATATTTATATTTATATTAATACAATTGTTCAGAGAAAGCGATTTTGTTTAACAAGTAATTTGTTTTATTCTCAAAAAGATAGGAGTAAAAAACTATTGGCACCACTGTTTTCAATACCATTCAATACCTCACCTTGTGGTGATAAAGGCACTGAGCCTTTTTCTAAAATGTTTCATGAGACACATTGGGATGGATCTTAGAAGAAGAGAGAGGCCTACGTAAGTCAACATTTTGTGATAGTAGGGTTGTGCATCTCTCCTAAGCAAGTAAAATAAGCAGTAAATATGTTCTATGTGCGCTATTTCTATGCTTCCCGTCCTTATGTTTCGTGTTTGAATGCTGAAGGTGCCGCTCAGATGTACGAATATTAGATTCTGACTTGTAGATCATTTACATGTTTCAATTCAGTCACAAAATATTCTAGGTATTTCCGGAAGGCAGAGAGAAAAACATCAGAGAACAGGCGGTGTGTAACGTCTGGGTGTATATTTATTTGCACACAACCATCTTTAGTGATTTATGAAGACATTGAGATTTTAAATTTGAGAATGTGTGAATGTGTTTGCTATTTGTATGAAGTTTTAGCTTTCAGTATTACTGTTTTTGCATTCTGTATTCTGATTTCTGTTCATATATTTTTCAGATAAAGTAATGCTTCTGCATCCTGGGGTGAAGGTGAAGACCTCGAGGGAGGCTGACAGAAGAAAGCGTTCAACCAAAATAGCTGCTTGGCTGGGAAAAAAACACTTTTTAATAAATGATATGATTTATGAGTTAAATCCTTTGTTGTTGTTGTAATTAATTCATTTCATTCATGTTTCTTTTTATTGTATTTTTAAATACAGTATGTCAATAGGCTTTATTGGTTTACAATTGTTTTATTGTTTCAGTTACCACAGGACAAGTTGTTAACCAAAAAGTACCACAGGACCATATAGTCCCCGTAAAAAAAACCTATGGTACAGCTAGGACCACATGATTACCACATAAACCTGAATTCCTGTGGTATACAGCTACCACATCATTTACCATTACCACAAAAATTACCATACCATATAGTAACACCAAATAACCACACAAAAAACGAATTGAATAACCACATAAAAAAACAAAATTACCATACACAACCACAGGATTTGTACCACAGCAATAACACATTCCTGCAGTAAAATGATCAAAAATACCACACAATGTCTGGATACCACAGGTCAGATACCACAGGAATAGCCCAGAGTACCACCCCAATGGGCAAAAACCGGTTAAATCAACATTGTTTCCACGTCATGTCAAGCCAAAAATAAATGTGATGACGTTGAATGAACGTGGAAAACTGATTGGATTTGCAAAAAGTGATCAACGTAAGGGCATTTAGTATTTTTTTCACCCAACGTTTAACCTAAATCCAAAGACATGGTGACATTTGTTGTTGATTTCACGTTGAATTCACGGTTAGTTTACAAATAAACCAAATGTAAATCAAAACTAGACATTGAACTAATGTCAGTGCCCAGTGGGACAACACTACCACAGGAGAAGTACCACATGAATACTTGACTGGGTGTGGTAAAATTACCACAGGATCACCACAGGAAATTTTTGTAAGGGAGGGAGTAAAAAAAAAATCCTGTAAACCAAGTAGCATAGAGCTAGGAGATGAGCACTGCTGGCACTACCAAGCATGGGAGATGTACATAAAAGGCCTGTAGTGGAGGGGGTGAGGACTATGTGAGTGTCCAGGGTTGGAGGAGAGCAGTGCGGTGAGAAGGGGTAATGACACTGGGTGGGATACAATGAGGCTGTCTGGTTCCCCCTGGCTCACACCACCGTCAGAAGGCATGGACCTCACATCAACAAACACCAACTGCGAGTACTGAGAAGATCATGCTGCGTGGTAGCCAGCGACTGGATCAAGCTCCAGAAGTGCTTGAAGGTGATTTCCTCACCGTCTGACACACCCATCTGTTTCATCACCTCGCCCAGGCCCTGCTTTGAGCCTCCAGTCTGGGGGAGGGAGGGAGCACAAAAACAACTCTTCACTATATGGACACGGTATTTATCACTTAATAAGCACTAATGGACAGGTTATAAGAAATAAAATAATCATGCATAGACATGTGTTAGCAGGAAGTTATCAATTAGTCTATTACACTTTTGAGCGTATAACATTGTTGCCTACATTACTCGGTAGGCTATATTCACAACAGTACTACTGATATCCTCAGCGCAGTAATTATGTTTGACTTCATAATCCAATATTGGCCACTCTTCAACTGTACTGTATGCAGCTGTATCGACCTGGACTCAGGGGTAAACGTAACATAGTAAACATACATTTTTCTCCCTCCATCTAGTATGATATGTTACGTTTCGTATGGAACTGTATGTATTCATTTGTGGATGTCCATCATCCAATTCGTATGAAATGTTACGAATTGCAATTCCTACAGTATTTTACCAATTAGAGCTGGACTACCGCATTTGGGGTGCTGGGGTACCTACTTCCAGGGGGCCCACCAACCCCCCCATGGGTCAGAGATAAAATGTTGCAGTTTTATAATGCTATTCTACACATTTTGTCATGAGGCTGAAATATAATTTTTCAGTTTAAAAGAAAATTTCCTGCAATTCTACAAATTTTTCCATGGGAAAGAGAACACAATTAGCTGTTTTAATGCAGATTTGCTGCTTTTCTACAAATTTTGCCATGAGGCTGAGAGAAAATGTTGCAGTTTTAAATTCTACACATTTTGCCTAAAAAATAACTCCAAAATAACTCGGTGCCTTATGGGATTCCACTTTGCTCTGATTCCGGCAGCTTTGCTGGCTCAGTGGAAGTGGCTATCAAAGGGTATAATTAGCCTCTACCCTCCATCATTTTCACTCCCTTAGCTTTGGGACACTTGTGCATATGGCGGAAGTGTGGGTGAATGCTCAAATGGAGGGGCGAGGGGAAGGGAGTGATTTGGTATTCAGCGCAAGTGTGTACTTTGTCAATTAACTGTGTCATATGTTTCAGGCTTTGCTACCCTCTAGTGGTCATAGATTTTTCTAGGAACGTTTTAATTTGTATGGATATTTTCATATAGCAACCGTTTCTTTGTTTGGTAATCTAGATGTAACCAATAGCAGTATCTGGGTAGCCAGTCTTATCTATGATCATTCTGAAATTTGATAAAGCTGCCAGCCAGGCAGATGCAAACACAGTGGATCTTCCTGTCTGCTGGAAACAATAGGAAATTAATTTGGGAAAATATTTCCTGTCCTGAACGCTGGTCCACAGCTGAGACAATATAAAGAGCTGTTTGCTGGAATCCCATTTAAATGATGTGATCATTCCTGTTCCTTTGAAATAGACTCTGGTTTTATATATGTCTAAGACTGGACGTAATGAAAAACATATGGACTTGGTATTTAAGCATATTATTCACTTCAACAGTTGTGTATTGTGCCCCTTCCCGTTAACCTAATTTACCTTTCACAACAAATGAACAAATACAGTCAGGTCCAAAATTATTGGCACCCTTGATAAAGATGAGCAAAAATAAACAAGATAAATAATACAAATACTGAGCTATATTATATGCAAAAAAAAAAGGAAAATTATATTATTTTATACTAATACAGCTGCTCAGAGAAATAGATTTTGTTTAAGAAGTAATTGTTTTCTTCTCAAAAACATAGGGGTCAAAATGATTGGCACCCCTGTTTTCAATACCTTCCCTTGCGAGGATAAGGGCACTGAGCCTTTTTCTAAAATGTTTAATGAGATTGGAGAATCTTTCCAGATCCAGGACATCTGGCGTCTGCCCTTATGGACTGCCCACTTCATTTCAAACCACAGGTGTTCAATGGGGTTCAAGTCCGGACACTAAGATGGCCATTGCAAAATGTTGATCTTGTGGTCAAAAAAACAAAAAAACAATGTGATCAATTAACCATTTCTTTGTGGATTTTGATGTGTGCTTGGGGTTATTGTCTCTAAGTTTCAGCCTCCTGGCAGAGGCAACCAGGTTTTTGGCTAAAATGTCATGGTACTGGGTAAAGTTGATGATGCCGTTGACCTTAACAAGGGCCCCAGGACCAGTGGATGCAAAATTGACCCATAACATCAAAGATCCACTACCATATTTTACAGTTGGTATGGGGTTATTTTCTGCTTATGCATTCTTTTGACGCCAAACACACCACTGGTGTGCGTGTCCAAAGAGCTCTATTTCCATGTCATCTGACCATAGCACCGGTTCCAATCCAAGTGCCAATACCGTTTTAACAAACTCCAGGTGTTTACATTTGTTGGATGACATGAAAATAGAGCTCTTTGGCCACTCGACCTGACTGTATGTCCTAGCTGTTGTGGCTAACTATTGTGTAGCAGAAATACTCTACTTGGTTGTCGAGTGGTGGATGAAGTCGACTTGGTGCAAGGAGTCATATTCAGATTAGGCCTACAGTTGTTCTGCTCTGTTCATAAGGAAAACGGTTATTTACTTCTCTGTCAGATCGTTTAATCACCCTCCAGATGAGAGAACAACCTTAAACCTTCATCACTTGTTCATATATTTAAACTGACCTTTTCCTGTTTTTCAGAAGCATAGCTATCTTTGTCACCCTCTGGTAGATTCAGACTCGTCCTGGAAAACCGCCTTAGGCCTCAGACAACTAAGCAGCCAGTTCCAACATGAAGATACTTTGGCCTTTTTAATGTCAAATAAAGCATGTGTCAGATTCAGTTCCTAGCAACACGTTTAACTTTAAAGGGCTAGTGCAGTCAAAAATGTGATTTTCTTGTGTTTTATATACACTGAGTGTACAAAACACTAAGAACAATAGCCTAATATTGAGTTGCACAATTCGTCGGGGCATGGACTCTATAAGGTGTCGAAAGCGTTCCACAGTGATGCTGGCCCATGTTGGCTCCAATGCTTCCCACAACTGTGTCAAGTTGGCTGGATTCATTTGGGTGGTGGACCATTCTTGATACATACGGGAAACTGCTGAGTGTGAAAAACCCAGCAGCGTTGCAGTTCTTGAAACAAACTGGTGCACCTGGAACGTACTACCATACACCGTTCAAAGGCACTTCAATCTTTTGTCTTGCCCATTCACAATCTGAATGGCACACATACACAATCCATGTCTCAATTGTCTCAAGGCTTAAAAATCCTTATTTAACCTGTCTCTGTATGTAGTTCTGTCCTTGAGCTGTTCTTGTCTATAAATGTTCTGTATTATGTCATGTTTCATGTTTTGTTTGGACACCAGGATGAGTAGCTGCTGCTTTTGCAACAGCTAATGGGGATCCTAATAAAATACCAAAATACCTCCCCTTCATCTACACTGATTGAAGTGGATTTAACACGTTATATCAATAAGGGATCATAGCTTCACCTGGACTCACCTGGTCAGTCTATGTCATGGAAAGAGCAGGTGTTCATGTTCTGTACAGTCAGTGTACATTTCCACATTATGAGGTTGGAATAATACTGTGAAATTGTAAAAATTATGATAATGCCGTTTTAGTGTAAGAGCTGTTTGAAAAGACTTCCTGAAATTTCAGCCTGTTTTGGTGGGATGGAGTTTGGCCTGCCTGGCGACCGGGCGGTATAAGTTAATAGACCAATAACAAAGGATTTTAAACCTCTCTGCCAATAACATCTAGTTTTCAGGTTATATATCCCTCTCATTAGGGTCGTCCAATTAGGCCCCTCACTCAGACAGTCCTAGCAAAATTCTTGCTTGAGAAATTGTCCTTTGCTAAAAAGCTATTTTTGTTTATTTTTGACTATTTTAATTCAAGAAAAAACAAACAGTAAAGTGCTTAATTGTTACCCAGAAATGATTTGATATTGAGAGAAAATATGGCTGCATTGGGCCTTTAAATCATGGACACCCAGATAGCTTACAATCCAGCGTAGGTGCTCATGATATGTGCTAACATGTTTAAAACTCAATTGGTGACTGAGTGCACAGTAGATTACAGCAAATGTTGGATTTGCATCCAACCCGGCAACCGACGCCTACAGGCTTTTTCTGAGTGTTTGTTTGGGAGTTATAGGAGGTGGTGTGTTCTGTATGTGTGTGGTTGAGTGGGGGAGGTAGTAAGAGTCATATTCACGCCCTACTGGTAGAATCAATGGCAGGTGTGGCCGGGGAGGGCGGTGGCAATGTAGCCGACCGTTGCAGCTTACATACCTTGACTAAGTTGGGCAGCTGGGAGGCGAGGAGGCCTTTCAACTCTTCGGTTTGGAGCGTTGGACCTTTATTGGCCGCAGCGGCATGGAACTTTGTGACCAAAGTGTTGATGGCCTTTTCCAGGTCTGAGTGCTGTGCCAGAGGAGCAGAAAAAACGTGTTAGGGTGGGGGAATCAAATAATATAACAATAGGAAAAGAGTCCTCTGACAGTCCTTTGAAGTTTATTATGTGAAGTTTATTATTATAATAGATCATTAAAAAAGAAAGAAAGAAAGAAAGTTAACATTCTTGAGACAGACTCCTGAGGTGTGTGCCAAACAGTGGAGACGGCTGAGGGGAGGACGGATCATAATAATGGCTGGAACGGAGCGAACGGAATGGCATCAAACACATGGAAATCATGTGTTTGATGTATTTGATACCATTCCACTGATTCTGCTCAAGCCATTACCACGAGCCCGTCCTCCCCAATTAAGGTGCCACCAACCTCCTGTGGTGCCAAAGTGTACCGACCTCCACTCACTTCAGTCCCAAATACCCCCAACTTTTCAGACACTCACACCCATCCTCATGTGCATATCTTGCATGCCTCCACGTGTTTGAAGCCTACGCAATGATGCCACTGATGTTTAACCCTGTCCTTGAGTGACTTCATCTCAACAACATCGAACAATACTGCAGCTTTTTGTCCACACATATCACGCACTGCTCCATTCAGTTAATTATTGTGTTTGTATTGCACCTTTCACAGTATCAGTGTCACTGAAAGCTTAGTGGTTAACCAACTATGTGTCATTTTTGTCAATGTTGAATAGTTAGTATAGTGCTATAAACCTAATAAGCCACAAAACAACTAACAGTATGCTCATGGGTGACATAGGATAACAGAGCTTTAAAGAAAAAATTGTGAGAAATAATATGCTGAGTGAAAAATACAGATACTCCAATAAGATCAGTTATACTTCTAGGTTGCAAATCACCTGTTTGAAAAGTAGACCTTATGTTTTGCAGTGGCATATGAAACTGTGTCACACAGACTTGTTATGTTGGTCATTGTGAAGGACATCATTCCATACTCTCTTTAAACCAATAACCAAACACCCAATCTATTGTAGCTGATAGGTTTTTCATACTACTTTTTATTTATATCCTAAATCACCAACATTTATTAACTGTTAAGGAACTTTGCTATGTCACTCACCCCTATTCAAATAACTATTTTAATATGCTATTGAAATGTGAGCATCTGTGGGTGGGGCGGGGAGGAGTAAGCTTAAGTAACGAGAGACTGAGTGGCCTATTGGTATAGGAAGGCGAAGTCAGACAACTTGGGTCCACTTGGCTACACGGAGAAGGACTTGAACTACCTGCAGCTCACCCTGTCACTGTTTATCTTCAGGGTGTGCCAGGGGCGGAGTGGGTATCTGGCATTTTGGGCAATTTTTTGCCAATTGGGCCTTTCTAACATAGGTTTTTCACACAAAATTATCACTATCTGGCTAATAATGGGGGCATCAAGGGGGGAAATGGGCCAGTATGGGGGCCTCGAGGAAAAACTGGGCCGGTGTGTCAGTCCGTCCGTTCGTCAAGCTGTCATCCCTCACTAAGTGCCTATCTCCAAAAATGGTCTCTGTGGCATAGACCATGGGGACGGAATGAGAAGGGACTGATTGCCTCCCCGTGCTTTCCATTTCCACACATGGTCTCTGTCTATAGACACAATTGAGAATAGCTCCTTGCTCCCTCATCAGCATATGGCCTAGATTAATTTGTCATTGTCCACATTCTTTGCTGCTGTCCAGCATGCACACTGATCAGTGCATTGAAATGATTAGTGGTAAACTCGCATTAAGGTGGCAAGAGTGCATGGAAAGTAGGCTATATGCAAACACCTATAGGACTTAATACGATCTCTTGGACTGTGTCCTGATATAAATTGGATAGCTTAATATGTCAATGGAATTTTCGGTAAACTACATCTGTGCAACTTCCAACCATAATCCGAACGATGCGTACAACTGGGGGGAAAGTTGTCCCCAAAAGAATGCAACAACTTCTTTCGTTGCTTCTAGGACGAGTAAAGCCACCATCTCTTCAGGTGCAACATTTTGACAAGTGCTGATATTAAAATGGTATAGTAGGCCTACCTGTTCTGCCATTTGGATCGTTTTGTGCTGTCCTTTTTCAAAGTAAAGTTTACTCTCTGCGACGTTCAGTAATTGCTACTTTTCTCGCTCAGCGTTCAATTGCTTCTGTCACATTTTGGCAAGATTCCTAAATACTCCCACTCAAGAAAAAGAAAAAATGCATCTGGATTCCACCTTCAGTGTCAGTCAGAGAAAGCTATGGGAAAAAGTAAAGTGCACTCAGTGTAACCCGATGCATTGGGACTGTAAACTTCACAAGGCAGACAGTCTACATTTTTATTTTATTTTAGTCATTTAGCAGACGCTCATATCCAGAGCGACTTACATTATTATGTTTTCATCCTTGTCGGCCATTCCCTCCCCTACCCTGGACGACGCTGGGCCAATTGTGCGCCGCCCCATGGGTCTCCCGGTCACGGCCGGCAATGACAGAGCCTGGATTCGAACCAGGATCTCTAGTGGCACAGCTAGCACTGCAGAGTAGCTTACAACAATTGTGCATTTAACCTTTTCACACATACCAACAAACGCGTGTGATCATTCTACATTGGTCCCCGCAGCGTACGATAAAACCGGTTTGATTAGAACGCTTATATAGAACGTCCAGTTTCGATTGACCCAACAGTCAGCATTTGAGATAGCCACAGTTTTTTTTCATAGAAACATTTCGCACAAACACAGTCCTTACAAAGTTATGTCCTGAATGTGACCAGTTTATTTTTGGATGCAATGTTCAGACATTCACAGAAGTAGCGACAGCATACATAATTATCCAAATCGGAAAATGTAGGCTACATTAGTCCTAGCGCTAACTGAGGAAAGATTGAAGTAACACAATAGATCATATTTAGAGAACTCTCGGCTGACAGAAACCACAATATGAATTAGCTAATAGTAAGTACTATTTATAATTTATCACATCACGGGTGAGCTCACCAATGATCAAAACAATTGAGCAAAACACTTTCTAGTAATCCGACGATGGATAGTTTGTACGTGCCGCAATGCTTGTTTTTTCGCTTCAACCAAAGATAACAACAGGAGACAAGTTGAGTTTGGTCTGTTTGCAGTATGCATGTTGAAGGGGGTGTGTCATCTAGGATCATTCACTTCCGGAAGTGTACTCGAAAGATTAGAGAACCATTCCTTCACCTCAGTATAACATCTTTGGTCTGACAGACGTTTACGTGACACCCAGAATGCATTGTATAATGTCAACAAACATGGCGCCATACATAGCTGGCAAATAGCTTAGCGTTAGCTCATTATAATCAGTACAACCTTCAAAAAACTTGATCTGCGGAAACACTAGGGAAGTGCTTGGGCTCTCCTCGAAGAGAGAAGTTTGTCCTACTCAGTAAAGCCTCAAACATAAATTGTCCGCAACACTGAAATGGGCTACTTCTATGTGAATTAATGAGGAGGCGGAACATACCTCAATTCAAACTGTTGTTAGAAAATAAAACTTGTTAGAAAATAATTAGAAGTTGAAACATAGCCTAATAGATAATTAGCAGGCAGCACGTGTTAACTGTCCTGTTGCGTAACAATCACATTTTCGAACAGTGAGTGAATGCTGACATCACGTGCATAAAACGACTCACGCTGGGGCGACGGTTAGAGATATTTGGAATTTACATGTGAAAAGGAATGTATAGGCTATTCAAGAAGAGCCCGAGTGCATCACTCAACATCTGGAAACCTTTAGCAGAAATTGGAACAGTCTGCAAGTGGGCTGGAGTTTTTCTTCTTTATTGTTGCAATTTTTTACCCCTCATGTAGGCCTACTTATTTTCTGCAGTTTCTGTAAAGCTTAGAATATCCTCCCAAAATAATACATTTCTCAATAGGCCTATTGTAAGAAACTTTTATGAACCATGCATCCATGGTCCTTATGGGCAGGTTTTTTTCGAGGTTGTTTGTAATTGAAGTCGTTTGTCATTGTCCATTCCAATTTCCATCAGGCCTACATTCATTTTCGCAAAGTTATCATAGGTTGATAAGGACATGCTGGCGAACTAAAAAGTGATGTGTGCACAATGAACAGGCACAACCAAATTCTTGTAAGTATTAACAGAGGGGTGGGGAGACATAAATTGTCATAGTCCTACTGATGTGTTTACATGAAAACCAGTCAACCAGCGTCTTCATTATGCTACCACAAAGTCATGGGCTGTTGCAGCCTGGTCTCATAGACTATACGTAACATAGTAAATCAAATCCTGGACACACAAATTAGTATGATATGTTATGTTTGGTATCTTTACATAAGACAGAAGGTTACTTAAGGCAAAACAACGAAATTGCTTTCGTAACATATCATACATATCATCCACAAATTAATACAAACCATACGAAACATAACATACTGTATCTTACTAAATGTGACTTGTTTCAGGAAACTAGGCATATGTCTCGGGTCACTACTTCACAGGAGAGCCGTTTGAATGTGAACTTTTTTATTTTTATCAAAATGCGTTTTTTTGCAGAAATGGTTCATTGTTTAACTAACTGGCTAACGTTAGCTGGCTGGCTCGCTAGCTAACATTACGTGTATGCTCTTATTATTCGTATCGCAGAGCCATTTGCTTGCTAACATTGAACCTGGTTGGTTAGCTACCTGCAGATTCATGCAGGGTAGTAACGTCATGAGTTGGGATTATGGTTGATTTTCCTAGCTAGCTAGCTACATGTCTTAACAAAAGACTCCACTATGCAAGTAACCATTTCGGGTGCGTTCGTAAATTCAGTCTGAGTATGCCAGAGCGCAGAATAACTGATTAATTTACGAACACACAACACCTGTTGAATATGGCCGGTGTCAGTAAACGTCGGCAAAAAAGCATAATTAAATTGTTGCCAGCAGCACAGTTACAGTCACCAACACTCTGGATAAAATGGTCTAAGGCACTGCATCGCAGTGCTAGCTGTGCCACTAGGGGTCCTGGTTCGCATCCAGGCTCTGTCGTAGCCGGCCGCGACCG